AGATGTTAGTATCCACCAGCTCCTGCTGCCATCCCACCTGGCTTAGGCCCAGCTCCCCACTCTCCCTCTAGGGCGGTGCCTAACCCACAGCTACTCTGGGACATCCTGCTCTGGGTCTCTTAGTGCCCCTGCTCACTTCACCCATAGCTGCTGTCACACCCCCCTCTCTCAGCAGCACCAGCAGCAGGGCCAGCCCCTGTGCTCCATCAGCTAAGCTGATGGGTGTGGCTGGAAACCCGGGACACTCAGACCCACACTCGAGTCTCTCTTGTTCTTTACTGGATGTGCCATCCATCCTGCATCCCTCAGGAATCACAGCTTGGGATGGAGAGGGTGGCCTCCTCCAGGGCAGGGGGACTGGGCCACTTCCTTCTACTTTCTGAGCCCCTGGAGTCCTCCCCATAGTTGAAGACAGACTACGGGAAATGCATGTTCCAGCCCCTCCTCTGACACATAGAGGCTCAGCCTTGGCTTCCTCCGTTTCCTACTCTAACAGTGAAGGAGTTGGCCTTCTAGGGTTATCTAAGGGCTTCCATGTTTGTTCTTTGTTTAGAATGTCACCTGAATTGGGAATACCAGCCTGTCCCACTGCATGATGGATGGCAGCACAGGCTGTCATCCAAGAACTGGGACAAGCTGGGAAGGAACAGGGCAGAGATCGCTGCCCACTCCTACACACGTGGTAGCATGCTCCCAGACTACTGCCAATGGCACCCATGGCTTGTGCACATTGCGCTGGCTGGTGGGCAGGGGCTCTGTTTTACCCACAGGAAGACCAGGCCCCGGGGCAGGAAGGGACCTGCCAGGTTCTTACGTGCAGGTGAAGCTAACGTGGAACTCAAGGCATTCACAGCTCCATGTCTGTGCCACAGCCTGGTCTTGATGGGAGAGTCATGGGTTCCAGCCCTCCTGGGCATCACCAGCTGCTCACAAGACAGCAGAGTCTGTTCTGGGCCACTGAGAGGACAGTCTGTGACATTCAGATGTCTCCCTAACAGCCATGCTTGGTGCCTGAATCCCACCAATAGAAATCTCACATTTGGGTACTGTGTGTGTCCCAGACCCTTATGTCTAGCAAAGGGCCATTTCCCAAACCCTGTGTGTTCCCTTCCAAGTCCCTCCCCTAAGTCCCTTAGGGATAGGCCTGGTCCTAGAAGGAGGAAGCCAGGGGTGGCAGGCCCAGCCCCTTGGTGGGAACATACCCCCCCACCTCACCCCCACCCCTGCCATCGGAGCCACCCTACCAGCGGATGCCCCAGGAAGCATGGGATCAGTGGTGCGAAGGCTGCTCATTTCCTCTGGCGTGGAGACCGGCTGAGCCACACAGACCCACTGTTGGTTGCCCTTATCTTGGGAAGTTCCGCCTGTCCCATTAGGAAGAGGCAGCTAGGCCCCCACAACCTTGGTCTCACCTTTCTTTGCCTCTTGGAAGCTGAGGAGATCGGCAGGGTTCATATCACACCGGATTCTCTCCCATGGAAGTCTGGGTTTAACCTGAAGGCCACAGAGAGCCTGGATAGTGGAATACAACAGGAACCGAGGCTCATGGGGGCTTCAGAAGGGCCATCCTTAGGAGAAAACAAGGAGGAGCTAGTAGTTGTGAAGCTGGAGGAGGAGACTGGGAGGCAGCGGATGGCAGAGGCCCAGCAGCACCTAAGAGTGGGGCTAGAACAGGGCAAAGTAAGGTAGGATGCCATCTTCCTTTGCTTAGAACCCGTGTTCCAAGAATATGCATGGCTCTTGGCACTCGTTTAGGACGTAGCATCAGCCCACATAGACTCTCCAAGAGGCCTTCATCGACCCTCTCCCAAGGGTCAGTCCCCTGTGCTTTGTCCCATACATCACCAAAGCCTTAAGCACCCCGTGTGACAGTAGATCTGTCTCCTGCCCCTCCCTGCTAGACTGGCTGCCTTGATGGCAGACATCCCATGACAACAGGTCTCCCCCACCCTGTACCCTCCACATGCTGCGAAGTGTCACCTGCTGAAGCTGGCTGTTCCCCGTCCACTGCCCAGCCACATCTCCCCCTGCCCAATCACACCTCTGCCCTATCCAGCCCTGAGCCAGAAGACAGGGGAGTGGGGCAGGAACTAGGGGGAGGTGTCACAACCCCCTAGGTGCTGGGCCCTCGGCATAGTTCTGTGACTGGTGTAACCGCTTCTTTCTTGATGGCATGACCCAGCTTACTCCCTACTCTGGCCACCTCGAGTCAGGTCTCACTCCATCCTCAGCCATACTGATCCAAAGCATCTTGGAAAGTCAGGAGTCTGGTGAGAGGTGGTATGACCTTAGCTGGCCAAGCACCTGTCCTCATCTCCCAATGGCAAGGAGCCTGCAGGGAAAAGTAAGGGGGCCCAGAAGGCTCAGGAAGGACTGCGGGGCTTATCACAGCCCCCTGGCAGAGGCCTATATCTAAGACCCTTTAGTCTGGCTCACCTTGTTTTCAGGGATGTCAAGTGCTCCCACTCCCGAATGGATTGGTAGGGCAAGAACTTGGACCTCTGTGGGGCTCCAGGCTGGACCCAGCTCCAGCCGCTCCCTTCCTGGCTCCAGGAAGTCTGGAGTCCTGACTCCTAGGTCCCAGCCTGGGCCTGCCAAGGCCTCTGTCAGAGTAGACAGAGGCCCTCCACATACCAGGCTCTCATGTGCTGAAGCAGGGCCAGGAGGAACCTCAGGCACATCTGGCTAGTGAGGAGAAGGAAAGGTCACAGGGAGAGCCACTTGAACAGGACACTGGATCAGAAGGCACTTGCTAACACCTCCGCAAAGACTGCAATGCTTGCTGCCCACAGGGCCAGAATAGAGGCAGAGACCACAAAGAGGGAACAAGACTCAGGCAGGAGCAATGATCTACCCAGTCACCCAGGGATAGAACCGGGCACACACTCTTCTCCAGTTCCCAGCATCCCTTTCACTGCATTTTGCTTAGCACCTGTCACCCAGAGAGGCATTGGCTACAGTGGGGTGTGTGAAGTGTATCTATCCCCTGTCTTCATCCAGTATGTGTGTCAGAGACCATTGCATAAGAGGCTAGAGGCAAGAGGCTTGGTGTGAACAGTCAAGGAAGACTTCCTGCAGGAGGCAGCATTCCCAGAATTCTTTACTAATTGGAACCTGGGAGAAAGGCATGCTGGGGAGGAGGCACAGAGACTCAGGAGGGATGGCATGTGAGTTTCAGGAGGGAAGGCAGTACTCAAAATCCATGTGATGAGAGACAGATCTCCAGACTGGACAAATCTAGGTGCTAGGACTCCAGAGGGCAGGGCCTGGGTGTACCTCACCCTGACTCTTCAGCCCCGAGTTTGGAGTCTGGCACCAGGAGTCTGCTGAGAAAGTGCTTGGACCCAGTCCCAACAATGGCTGATGTGTGCCCTGTGTGGTGTCACTCCACTCCGGCAGCTGCATGTGTGGGGGGGTGGGGTGGGGTGGGGGCGTGGCTGTTTGGAGATGGCTCCACAGGTCCAGAGGCATTCCTACATCCTGAGTTCAGTTTCCAGGACACACATGATGGGATGGAAGAACTCATTGATGCACGCTGTCCTCTGACTCCCCCCTCCCCGCAATGTAATAAAAAATAGTTTCAAAGGAGATGCCTGCAAAACGCTTCAGACGGTGCCTGGCGCATGGTAAGGTCCTTACTACCTTAGCAATACCTTCCCTAGCTCCTCACGTGAAACTTAAAAGTGCTTCCAAGCCCACAAAGCTTTGGCCCTCTCTGCGATCCCTTCTCAAGTGTTCAGACAAGAATGTGCATAAAAGGGGGCCTTGCAGGGACAGGTTAAGTAATGTCATTTTCAGAGGCAGCACCATACAGCAGAGCCAGGAGTTCTGGGGTGTGGGGAGTGACTCCGGGCATATCAATGTGGAGAACCGCTCTTTTCTCTGTAAATGGTTCCCACACAATTTCACATATTTCCTGGAGAACGTATGCGAGCACAAGCATGATGTAAATATCTGCATGCAAATGCAGGCAAGCACTGACAGATGACTGACACCTCAATTTCAAGCCCAGCTGTGTCCCGTGCAGCTGTGTGACCTTGAGTAAGTCATCAAACCTCTCTGATCCCTTTTCTCACCAGTAAAATGGGGGGGGGGGCTTTTTCTTTTAACCTTGAGAGGCTGAGAGAAACAGAATCCAGTTTGCTTTGAGTTCTGTTCCGTGAGAACAGAGGGGACTTCTGTTCTGAGACTTCTACTCCAGAGACTGGAACTGTGTGAAGAGAAAAGAGGACTCTGGAGAAGATGGGGGCGGCGGGGAGGCTGGAAGAGGAGGAAAGTGAGCGCATATCGGGGAAGACTTGATGGCTAACGAAATGAACAGTAACGGACCAGGTCTCCGGCCCCGCCCTTGGCCGCACCGCCACCAGCTCTCCACTGTCTTTGGGGTTGAGGCCACCCTCCCAGGGCTCTCTCGTTGCTTGGGGTCGCCCTCACCGAGGCTCTGGTGCACAGCACTCGCACTCGATCTGGCCAGCAAGGATGAGCGCCTGCCCTACGCTTGGCCAAGGGGCAGAGCCCGGGCAGGGAGCGCAGGGTGAGCACCGACCCGCCGCGGGCGCAGAGCTTCAGCAGGCCAGAGGGGAGGGCGCTCTTCTGGGACGAGCAGGGCGCAGCGTGTCAGGACAAACTCGTCGCCACCTGTGGACGTGAATTCGCGCATAGCTAACCAGGGTACAAACTAACTTCCTCACTGCGCAGTCTTTCTCTGCCGAGCTGCCTACTGATCTGCGCAGGCGTACGCGCATGCTCATGCGTCTCTCCCTCTAGTACGATCTAGTGGGAAGAACTTAGCAGCTGGCTCGTTGGTCTAGGGGTATGATTCTCGGTTTGGGTCCGAGAGGTCCCGGGTTCAAATCCCGGACGAGCCCCTCTTTTCTTTAACATTTTTCTACTGCCTTACACCCCAGTACTTGGAAAGATAGATCTAGAGAGACCAAATTCTAAAGCGAAAAGTTTTATCCAGCGGGTGTCATACGAAAAAATGCTAGTGAAAAAAAGTTGGGCTCGTCCGGGATTTGAACCCCGGGACCTCTCGCACCCTAAGCGAGAATCATACCCCTAGACCAACGAGCCACTGCGCTCCTACCGTCTCATTTTACTTTCTAAGTGATATCGACCGGGCCTGCACCGGGCTGCCTTCCAGCGGCGAGAGATCCACATCCCAAGCCTGCTCTTTTTCCTGCCGCTTGTGGACCGGCTGGAGTTCAGGAAATCCTGGGCGCAGACACTCTGTCGCCATGAGCTCAGGGACGGCCGCTGCACCACGCTTTAGGGAAACACAGAAATCTACCGATGCGAATGCAGCGGGACCACATTTCTTTGAACGGATTGCGGAGGGTGAGGGAGGCGCCCCGCTCCACCCCGCCCCGTCCTGTCCTAGCCTACCCTGCCCCGCCTTGTCCCATCCTCCTTCACCCCGTTGCGCCCCTCCCAGACCCATCTCTCCGGGTTCCTTTCTTGCCCCGCCTTGCCCTGCCACGGCGTGCCCCGTCTAACGCATTCCTGTCCGTTCCTGTCCGTTTCTGCCCGTTCCTGCTCGTTTCTGCCCGGTTCTGAACCATCCTGCCCCGGTCCAGTCCTACCCTGCCCCGCCGTACCCTGCCCTGTTCCTGTCCCGCCCCACCGCGCCCTTCCCACGCCTTGCCACGCCGTGCCCCGTCCACCCCAGAGCTGATGCCCTGCTGGGTCCTTTCCTACCCCGCCCGGTCCATCCCTGTCCTGTCCTGCCCGGCACTGCCTCGTCCGGCCCAGTCCTGCCCTATTCTGCCCTGTCAAGTCTTGCATGTGTCCCGGGCGCCATAGCTGCTGTAGGTACTGCGCAGCCGGCTCCTGGGATAGGAGGCCAGTGATGGGAGGCGAACTGGCGTCGCCAGACCCCGGCTTGAGCCAGGCCAGACGTGCAGCTGCCTGGTGCAGCTGCAGGCATCATGGTCCAGAAAAGCGGCCTCCACTGCGCAACTGCCCAGGGCCCCGGAAAGTGCAAACAGTGTGGGGACTGCCCTGGCGAAGTTGAGGGTGACAGGAGCTACACCTCTCCGGGCTGCAGAGGTGGCCTCCATTGCAAGGCCATAGAGGAACAGGCATCTCCAGCCAATTTCAGTTACTGTGGTTCCTTCCCACGTGTTACGCCCACGTGTGCGAACACACATCTTGATGTCAAGAAGGGGAAACTGAGGCAGCAAAACCTGGTCCAGGGGAGGAGGGAGAAGATTTTTTTTTCTCAGTGACTCCCGAACTCTTTCCGGCTGTGTGAGGTGTCTTTGGAGACTGGTACAGCCTCCCACTTCCTCAGGTCTGAGGATGTGAGGCAGAAAGAAAAACCTCAAGTCGGCTGGAAGCGTTTGCAAAGCATCTTTTAGTCCACAAAGTGCTGTCCCTGGCGCCTGCTTGGCCCAGCCTTGGTCTGGGCCCTGGGGACATTGATGAGTCAGGTCTGCATCCTGAACCCCCTGTCCAGTGGTGGCCACTCTGGCTGTGCCTGCTGCCTTGCCCAGAGTTGTGGGCTGTTCTGTGAGAGGACTCAGTTGGGGCCTTGGTGAGTTGTGGTTCCAGCTAAAAAGAGTCTGTGGCCTGGACACACACCCAGAACCTTTCATCCTCTGCTCAAGCCTCCTGTCCCCAAACAAGACCTCCTGTCCCCAGACAAGACCTCCTGTCCCCAGACAGGCCTTCCTTATAGACAGTTCATGCATCCCACAGGCTTCCTGCAGGGGCTCCCTCTGCCTGGGACTAGCCACCCAGCTCTTTGTCACTGCTGGCTACTTGAGACTGGATCCCCACCTCCCACTCCTCAACTGAAATCAACACTCTGCCTTGAACACTTAGGCTGTGGCTCCATTCAGACCTGGTCCTGCCTCCCAGGCTGCCTCAGCTTCTCAGAAATTCCTAGCCTTGCCATTTCTGTTCTCTCTTTCCAAATAACCTTCCTCCAAGTGCCTCAGCCTCCCTGAACTCCTGTCTCCCGGTCACCTGTGTCTCCACCTTACAGGGCCTTCTCCCCGAGGAAAGGCATCGGCCACGTCAGCACAGGGCTGGGTGGGGATGACCTGTGAGGTGTTTGTTGAATGAGTGGTATTTTTGCCCTTCTCTGAAAGCTGGAGCCAAAAGAATACATCACAGGAGATCAGAACTGAGGTGAGTCAGAGGTCTAAGGCTTATTTGCTGTCTCCATCGGCACAAAATGCCCATCAGCCAAGAGACTTCTCAAGGAGGTGGTGTGCCATCCTGACCCCTTAGATAGAACAAGGACCCTTGAAAATGACCTCACCAGGCGGAAGCTCTCAGAAGTGCCCTGACTCGGAGTCATCAGCCGGCAGGCTCTGGGCTGTCCCAGATAGCCAGGGCACAGGCCAGGACAAGGGGCAGTAGAGCTGAGTGGCCTCTGAATGCTTCTCCAACGTGTGCAGAGGAAAGAGATTCAAGGGTTGGGTGGGGTGAGTGTGTGCTGGGGACAAGAATAGGGTAGTGTGCCCCCTCCCCCTGCCCCTGCTGGAACCAGAAGGCAGAGAGGGGAACCATTTGCTGAAGGGCACCCCTCCAGGCAAATATGGGCTGCTGATGGGCTCTCTGAGTGATGTAAACATTTAGGCTCCTCACGCCTTCCTACTCCACTCTGGGGAGGCCTCGACACTTCACAGATGTAGAGCTGTGATTGATACCATACGCTTGACTGCGGCTGGAGAGGTGCATGAACCGGATCAAGCAGGGGCTCATGGAGATTCTTGGCCCAGGAGCTGAAGTGAAGGGGCAGGGAGAGAGGGGGAGGAAGACAGAGGCAGCTCCCTCACAGGCCCCTCATTCATACTGTTCCTTCAGTACCCAACCCCATCATGGCATGCGGGGGAGACGGACTCAGAGGTAGCAAATTCCTAAGGGCTTGAGGCTTTGGCGCCAAGGAAAAAAGCTGGGGAGAGAATCGGTGGGGAGTGTAGGGAGCAGGGTGCTCAGGGGAGGGGTGGAGGACTGGGGAGAAGAAAAACAGCCCATCAGTGGTCCTCCTCCTCCTCCTCCTCTTCCTCCTCCTCTTCCTCCTCCTCTTCCTCCTCCTCTTCCTCCTCTTCCTCTTCCTCCTCTTCCTCTTCCTCTTCCTCTTCCTCTTCCTTCTCCTCCTCTTCCTCCTCCTCCTCCTCCTCCTCTTCCTCCTCCTCCTTCTTCTTCTTCTTCTTCTTCCTCTTCACCACAGCTGAGATCAAAGATGATATTTTTACAGCAACTGAAATAGAAAACCACTGGACACATGGTAGGAGGTGAGTGACCAGGACACAGGCCCCTTTATGCAACCTGTGGCTGGAGTAAGCATCCTGCCTTCTTGCCACAGGGAGTGGGGGACAGTGTGGTAGTGACCATCCCAGCTTGAGTTCAGGGAATCAGGGATAAACCAGGGGTGAGCCCTAGTCGTGGACTGCAGTTTAGTAATGGTGGCAGCATCACAGACCAGCACCTTCCATCCATGCAGCCATCTTTGTATTGCATAGTCTGCCATTGCAGGCGGCTGTGCACAAGGCCCTGAGTCATCCAAACAGAGCCTGGAGGAAGGATTACTTGTGGCCCCTGTTTTATGGAAGAAACAAGCCAGGATACAAGGGGAAAGTGTTCTAAATTCTGTCCTATAAAGAGTTGAGAACAAATTCAGAATTGGGTGCTGTGGACTCATCCAAAAAAACACTCTTTATCTGTAATCTCCCATTGCCTACTCACACACCAAATTTCCCCCGTTAGCCAATGAAGTCCCCTAGAGCAGCAGGTCCTTAGACGTCAGCACTGCCTCAGTTTCCACAAGGTTAAACATAATAGTAGCTAAAGCATGGGCTGGGTGTGAGCCTGGGTCAGACAGCCTTTTAGCCCTATACAAACATTAACTCAGTGACCTTGTGAGAAAGACTAAGGAAATGGAGGTGCACAGAGGCCGAGGAACCCACCAGGTTTGCACAGCTAAAAAGCAGCAGGTTCTAGAGTCCAGACAAAGTGGGTCCAGCTCCTAGAGCACATTCTGGGCATGGTTAATGATGCAGGCAGCATTACCTCACCTGAGAGTGAGCCGATGACCCTCAGTCTCTGAGATCTGCTGCTTTGTCAAGACTGAGACATGAGTCAGCTGAACCCAGCCTCCGTGTCTGGAACCCTGGGAATGTCAGCCCCACCTTCTCGAGGCACCATGTTGGGTTTTTGAAACACCCCACTTCATATAGGACACAGGGTGGGCTCTCACTGGGAACCTCTGTTTCTTCTTCTATAAACAGAAGGATGATAGTTGTAGATCCACAAGGATGGTGACATTTGTCATACCCAAAATTATGCACAGAGCAGCAGACTATGGGTGAGGCAACTATCCTCCTTTCTTCTCCGTCTTCTGGTAGCTTGGGGGGATGCCAGCTCAAGGTCCAGAAAGGTTCAAAGGAAAAACCAAGTTGCTAAATGGACCAAGTGCACTTGGCCTCCCCCCCCCCCACTCTTCCCATCTCCTAGGCACAGCAGCTCCAGAGAGGTTTTGGAGGTTAAACACAGGCACCCCCTATCCCAGGAGGAACTTAGTTTTCTGTGTAGGTGAACACCAGGACTACCACACCACACCACAACACACCTCACCACACCACAGCACACTGGCTATAGCTAGGCTTCTGCAATCAGTGCTGTGTTTGAGGATGGGTTGCCTCCAGGCTGAGAACATCTGAAGCTCGTTAGCTGCCTGTTCCCTGGGGCCTGACCCCGCCTGGCTTGGCGAGAATTACCCCCAGACAGAAACTGCAAAGGATGCAAACGAAGACCAGGTGAGGGGTGGCCACAAAGATGGGGGGCAGGCAGCATCTCCAGACTGGCCTCTGGGGACCTGGGGAGAGCAGAGGAGGCTGGGAGGAGAGCCCCAGGCCTGGCCCAGCTCCATCCAGTCCGTCGTGGCTCACCAGCTATGCAGCCTAGGGCCAGGGGCTGGCTCTCTGTCTCTTCTGTGGACTTCAGTGCCTCTGTGTGTTGTTCCCTGGAAGAAGGACAGGCAAGGAATATACACAGAAGGACTTGACATTCTAGAATGGGCCTCCGAGGTCTGGCTTAGTGCTACTGGGAGATGAGCAATAGGA